CTACAAACAACTTACCACACCACTGGGTGTCACATGACATCATATCAAACACCATAGTACACCCAACTCACCACACCACTGGGCGTCACATGACCTCATACAGCACATCATACTACACCCAACTCAACACACCCAAGGCCGAGCATCTTTATCTTCTTTATATATCTACCTTCTTCCTTGATGGTTGCTGTTAGCTCCTCATGGTGCTGGCTTATTTTTCCAGTGACTTCTTTTTGATTTTCCTCCAATTTCTGAATAACTGCAAGTTAATGTTTGAAATATGAAAATTATGGGAATTACAAAAGCAATTAACAACAGTGCAATTAATGAATATTATTTTTTAATACTAACTTTTTATAATGTTGTCTGAAATATCTTCTTCTGTTGCAACAATTTTTTTCAGAATTGGCACCAGTGTTTCAGATGGCTTCTTCAGGACTAAAAAGGTAAAACGAACATTATAACACAATATAAGTATTAAATTATATTTATTATCACTATTATTACTATATATTTATCAATATTATTGTTATTTATAATAATTACATTATCATTATTATAATCATTATTTAATCAATATTATCATCATTTTATCGTATATCATCGTATCATTATCATTAACATCATCATTGTCATCACCATCAGCATCATCGTATCATCATCATCATCATGTATTTGTTGGACTAAGGTTAGGTCAGTGTGAAACTGGTATGCAGAGGCAGAGGTCAGGGGTGTATTTAGCTATGTTATCATCCAAGGGCGGATCCAGCCAAAATTAGGGGGGGCTAATTGAGTTTAGGGGGGGCTAATTGAGTTTCTTCCGTCAACACAAAGGGAAACAATATAAAAAAGCATCATTTTTTCTGCTGAAGGGGGGCTTCAGCCACCCTTTGTTCCCCCCTGGATCCGCCCTTGATCATCATCATGTATTTGTTGGACTGAGGCAGAGGTCAGGAGTGTATTTAGCTATGTTATTTTGGGATTGTTATGATAAGTTTAGTACCCCCCCCCCCCCCCCCCCCCCCTATAAATAAATACCTACCATCTTCAACTTCAGTG